GGTAAACTTGTTTTTTAATTTATTATTTAAATTTTTAATTATTAATATATTAATTATTATATTTAATTATATAGCTTCGTAAACTTATAGTTAAAATACGATCATCACCACAAAGTCGAGAACGATTTGCACGTCATGCTAAAATAGCTAATTTTAAAAATCTTAATCTTATTCTGGATGTAAAAACAAGATGGAACTCAACTTATGATATGCTTAATAGAGCATTTGAAATGCGTGAAGTTAGAATATAATTATTTTTTATTTGTTTTTTAATATTATATTATTATTTAAATAATTATATTATAGGTAATAGATGTAACTGCAAGTTTAGATAAAGAACTTCGAAATTTTGAACTTATTGATGATGAATGGAATAGAATTAATGATATTATATCTGTTTTAAAAGTAAGTAAATTAATATATAATTAATTTTATAAGTTTTTAACTTTTTTTATATTTATTATATAGATATTTGTACGAACTACCAAAACACTTTCATCTGCAACATATCCTATGCTTGCCTCTGTTATACCAATATATAACTATTTAATAGATGGACTTGAAACATATTGCGATAAGTTTGATGATTCTAGTGATATAGTAATTGCTATTAAAGCGGGCTTAAAAAAGCTAGAAATATATTATACAAAAACAGATGATACAATTATATATACAATTGCTACTAGTAAGTTAAACCAAAATAATTAGTTATTTTTTAAAGAAACTGAATTATAAACTTATAATATTAATTAAATTATATAGTACTTGATCCACGGTTAAAGCTAGATTATTATATTGATAATAATTGGAAACAAAGTTTTATTCGTCATGCTAAAGAAACTGTTCTTAATATTTATAATATTAATTATGCATTTAATATTATCAATATAGAAGTTGATGATAGTAAAGATGAGAATGATGATGAATTTTTAGATCATATTTTTGGTAAACAGAAAAAAGTTCAAAATAATGAAGTGGAGTTATATTTAAAAGCTCCTCGAGCAGCACGAGATCAGGATGTTCTTCTTTGGTGGAAGGTATATATTTAATAATAATTATATAATTTATTTAATTTTATTAATTTAATTTATATATATAGCTTCATGAAATGGAATTTCCACATCTAGCAACAATGGCAAGAGATTATCTTGCAATTACAGGTAAAAAAAGTTTGCAATTTTATAATGATAAGATTATTAAATAGTAGTTAACAAATTAATTTTTATATAGCAACAAGTGTTCCAGTAGAACGAATTTTTTCTGGTGGTACCAATCTGATAGCAGATAAAAGATGTAGTCTTAAAACAGATACAATTCGTGCATGTATGTGTTTGAAATCCTGGTGGGCATAAAGTATAGAAAGAAAAATATAAACTAAAATTAATGTAATTAATATCCAATTGATTATATTGTCCGATTATACTATACATACATATGCATACACATAGTTAAAGATGGACCAATCATTTAATCAAAAAAGTAATTCTTTTACTCATTTTTTTTGTGATGTATGCGATAATGATAATGGCAGTTATTAAATACGTACAGTCACCACAGAAAGTAACGCCTGATTTGGATGTGCAACATCAACATAAATTTAAATGTGGCGGTTTTCACCCTTTTTGTTATTGTTGACTGCAAATTTTTTTTCATTTCTTTCTTCGACTTTTGAACATACACTGGGCAAAATTTGTTGGTTGTAAATATAACACACACCACCTCCAATTGACTGACTTTGACAAGGGTAAAATGGGTAACTTGGATTGGGGTTTTGAGTGCCGTACAAGTTGCAAGAAAAATGATCCGTGACTCGATGATGGGATAATGATCTCTTGCCGAATACAAGAGAAATAGGAAAAAAGAAAATTTACCAGGATCTGGAAGGTCATAAGCTCTTAACAAGCAAGAAAAAGAACCTGAGCCATTTCGTGACATTGTCAACAAAAAATCTTTGCAAAAATTTACCCGAAGATTCTTTAAGGTAATTTCATCTTTTTTCATAATATTTTATGCTCATTAATTTGAAAAAATATGACGTTTCAGATTAACTCTAACTCTAATCCTAACTCTAACCATAATTCTAAAAAGATTATGAAATAGGAATATTAATGATTATGAACCAATTAACGTATTCTCCCAGACCTGGCTTCATAGAAAACATCTAGAAACCATTGTAAAACGATATTCTAAAGTGTAAAAGCTTTTCAAAAATTGTGAACATGTTCTGAAGAAAATGTAGTCAAAATGTAATGTGTTAGTTCGGGATAGGATGTGAGCTCGATGCCGTAAGGAATCGAGATGGTATTGAAGCCATATAGAGGGTGGATAATGTATTAGTTAATGGTAACAAAAAATTTTTATGTATATAAAGCAGAAATGAAATAAATCGAAAATTTCATTTTTTATAAAAATCGGGCGATACTTTTTGGGGTACTGTACATATCGATATCAACAATCAATATGTACGTATGTATATCGATGTTGTTTGCACACTATCGCTATTGATCACTATAACTACTACTAGATATAGATATCGATGTCGAAGCAAATGAAGATAAATTCGTTCCTATTTTTCTTTGATGGTTCAAAACGTATTTAAATAAAATCAATAACGATAAGAATGAAGATATATCAATTCATGATTGCAGTAAATGTACTCGTTGTCAAAAAAACGATCGCTTCAGTGAATGTTTCGATTTTCACTATCAACTTTATGAAACTAAATGGTCTACCGAAAGTCAGGATATCGACTGTCTAATAAAAGAATGCATGAAAATCAGACGACATTTCAAAATGGATCCCTTTTGAAAAATCTTCCAATGTTGAATAACTCGGAAAAATTTATAAAGCATCGTTGCATTATTACACGTGGAATCGCGAATTTAATGAATTTAAAAAGATGATGAATACGTACCGAGTTGTTGTGTTGAAATCATTCCGTGATTCACAGAGAATTATAAACGAGGTAAAAATGAGCAATTTCTAAGTGTAAACATAAATAAGTCACTTTTTTATTTTCTAAAAAACTTCTAGTTTTCAAAAATAGATTCGGACTGCTCTAAAGTTCAGTGATGCTTACTTTGGAATAAATTATTATGGAATCACTAAAAATCCAGCTACGAATGAATACTCGATAGTAATGAAGGACACGGAATATATTAATTCCAACTACGAATAATTGATTTGGGATCAAATGAAAAATTCACAAAGAGAAACTTGTGCGTGACTTTCACCCTGCAAATTTATTATTGCATATTGATGCTTTCCTTGCCAATTTTGGACTTACCTGCCCAGCAGATATAAAAAAATCAAACCAAGAAATTTACAGA